ACTGGATTTTTCTCCCTTTACTTTAGTATGGTTGTTTTTATTTATGTATATAAATAAATTAATAAGCATTTACTTATTTGCCTTCAACATAGTAACCATTTGTGCTTCTTTCTTGAAAGTACATAAATAATATTCTGTATTATCCAGTATATAAGCTACTACTAAGCAATTTTAACTGAAATATCATTAAAAATATCACATTGTTTATTATTGTTCTACTTTAACAGCCTTTAGTTCCAGTTTAGGATTAAGCCTCCTGTATCTTATTACTCCATTTTCTTGTCCTCTGCATCCTCTGTCTTAAATCTAGTCTCTCTCATATCCTCTTCAACTTCCTCTCTCCACCTCCTCTATTGATTGCCTGTTTCAATTTCCCTCCACACCTTAAATCATAAGCCCTTTGTATTATATCCTGCTGTCCTCTCCTTAGGACAGACACAAATTTTGCTATTTTGTCTAGGACACCAACTACCAGCTGTTCTAATATCCTCACTTCTTTTCTCCTTAAGTGAAATCCAAGCCAATTATTACCTTAACATTCTCATCTCTGTTATCATCTCAATCTTTAAGGTCCACATCTTTGTCCCATACAGGAAAACTGGCCTAATCATAGTCTTGTAAATTCTTATTTTTAGTTTTATGGGAAATTTATGGATCACATATCACATGTTAACTCTCTTCATTTAAGCCTTACTTACTTATCCTGATTTTAACCTCTAAATGACATCCTCCCTTCACATCTATCATAGCTCCTAGATACTTTGCATTTGTTATTAGCCTTTTCTTAGTTGTTTGTCTCACTGTAAGGCTTCTTTCTACCTATGGCTCTAAACATCTCTCTAACTCCTCTGGCCTTTCCACTTTGCATAGACCTAATCACATTTTCTACTTCCTCTCTTGTTAGATCCTCTTCTTGCTTTAGGTTTTTGTTTTTTTATCTGTCTTTCAATGTTCCTCACTAATTTTCTTCATTTAGAAGTTTATTGAGATATTCTCTCCATCTTATTATCTGATCTTGTGTCAACACTATTCCTTCTTCATTTCTCAGTGCATTGATTTCCAGAATGTCTCTCCTTGTTTTGTTCTGTCCCTTGCTATTGTATAGATTGATTTTTCTCCTTTAGTTTCTGGTACTAATCTTCCTATTCTGTCTTTGGCTATCTTCACTGCTCTTTTAACTGCCTTGTTACACTCCTTATATCTATCCTTATTAGCTTGACACTCACTTACCTTCCAAAGTTTTAAAGCTTCTTTCTTCTGCTTTACTGCATCCTGTACCTTTCCATTTCACCACCAAGTCTCTCCACAACTTTCTTCCTTTCCTTGTCTTGCCATGTATCTCCTCTGCAAATTCCCTCAAGCCATCTTATTCCACTCTTCACTACTCTCACTCTTTTCTCCTGTCTCAGCACTTTCTCCATCTTCCCCTTCAAGATCTGCTGGAATTTGTCAATATTCTCCCCTTTCAGTTTCCAGATCCTGAGTCTTGGCTGGTATTCCATATTCTTAGTACTTGATTGTTTACTTTTCTTTCAATTTGTTGTATTTCTTAGAATTAGCACAAGGTTGCTATTGAGAACAAATCACATAGGAACTCTTTTTGATGGAAAAAGTAGGTTTATTTAACTTTCTTTATATCTCTTTCCATGTAATGTCCATAACAAGAAATCTTTGTTGTTTAACTATGTCCTCCTCTACAATCACCTTACAATTTGATTATTGCTATCCTTAACTTGATATTACAAAATTATCTGATTAGACCTACTTTTTGTAAGCCATCACATGGTGTTCTCTTTTCATAAACCATGTGTTCAATTTTTAGTCATGTGCCTCTGATATTTCTATTATCCTCTCTCCTTCATTTCTCTCTCTCCATACTCTGCACCTTTAGCTCTTTCCCTTGCATGGCCATTTAAATCTCAAAATATAATTTCTTCTCTTCCCATTTTCCGTATCTTTTCTAAACTTCCATCAAAATCTTTATCCTCCTCCATGGGACCATACCACATTTACTATTTCTGTACCCATTACCAGTTTTATTCTCAATCTTTCATTGCTTCTCTTTACCTCTATCACCTTTTCGTACTCTTCATCCAATATTATTCCTACACCATTTCTTCCTCTTTTCTCCATTGTAAAAGAGCTTAAAGCTTTCTCCTAGTTCTATCATAGTTTTCTCTTTCCATCAAGTTTCTTGGACACATGTCTTTATTTTTAGTAGTAGAAGTAATAATAATTAAAATGTTTATTATTATTATTTACTATCAAAAGTTCATTTCTGAGTCTATACTAATTTTATTTATTCACATAAAGCTATTTTTGAAGTTCAGTTTTCACTCAGTTCTTTTAGTTATATTTTAATAGAATTCAAAATTGAACACAGTCAAGAATAATATTGATATAAATTCTACATCATCGAATACTCAGTTATGATTTATGAGGAATAGATATAGAAACTGGATATGAGGCAAAAAGCCTTAAAAATATTTTTCTATAAATAAATAAAATTGATCCTGAGGGAGAAAAAACTGTTTACAAGTAAAATGTAATGAAATATGTCAAATGGAATTAAACATGTTTACCTGCTATGCTGATAGATGTGCAATTTTAAAATTTAACATTTTAAAATTGCACATTATGCCTTATAATTTGACACACGTACTTTGAAATATTAAGAAATTTTTTAAATAATGTAATTATTATATTATGTAATTTAATACACTTGTATACTACACATTTATTTCATTGAAATGTAAAATATATATAAAATAGTTTGTTAGTCTGCAAATGATCAAATTTTATTGTCATCAATTTTGTCCATTTATGCACTAAACACTTTTTATGTAAGGCAATTTTAAATTATTAGTTCATATAAAATGTCATTAATACAGTGATCTGTTATAAGCTATTCTGTTTATTATGAAAAATACACTTAAACTGAAAATTATCTATTTGTCACGAACGTAATAAAAATTTCAAACTATATTTTAACAACATTGTATAAAAAAATTTGATTTCATAGAAAATAAATTCATAAATTATACAGAAAACAAATGAAAAACAAAAAAAATCAATTTTATTTTGTAGAAAAGATATTAAGATTTATTATACTTTGAATTTATACATACATAAATTCAAATAAATAAATCTTAATATTTTTTATGAATATATTCACAATTACTATTGCTGTATATTTATATAGTCATAAAATTTATGATAAAATTTAATAGTAAATAGCAGATACTGTTATTTAGATCGAATATACTTTTTCAGTGTGAAAGGATTTACGTTAGAATGCATAGTTCAACTTTTGAAGTAATAAAACGTTCTAAATAGCGATTATGTTAGTCGTACGAATTTTCAAATATGGGTCATATCCGAAAAGGGACAAAGCCCTCGGTACGAAATGCAGTGTCATTTAACCTACCAAATATAGTAGACAGGTATGAAGAGTTCAGTGGCATGAACATCAGAGCAACAACACCTACCAGACAGAGTTCATTGCCATGTGCCATATACGACAAACGGGAAATAACGTATTAGACAACTATCGATAAATTTTCACTTTCTTAAGATGCCATTTAAATATTTTTCTCTTTTTAAGAATTAAGTTAAGCAACAACTTGCATATCGTTGGCATTAGTCTAAATTATACTTATTATTTCGCAATTCTAAATCCTCAAAAAGACAAATGCCGGATGCCGACGGCGAAATTGTGGAACTATAAAAGGAAAATATACCAACGTCGAAAGTGACGCTTGCTAAATTACACTTAACAAAACAATAGGATTTTGAAACGAAAATATTAACATATTATATTCGAAATTTTCCTAAACAGAACTTAAATTGGTAAATTACTGCATTTACTCTATTTCTTCCATTAAGTGCGGTCTCATAATGCGACTAAAGGATAGCGTACGAAACATTTTATTATTGTTTTTAATTCGTATTTATGGAGTTTAATTTTTTGCATTTATATAAAAACAAAAAATTAGATCCTCGCATTTAAAACAGATAACATCTTTTCATGACAGGATCTTTCTTTAAATTATGAATTCAATTACTTTCGAGAGATTTTTTTAAACTAGCAACAACCGGTTGAGGCGAGTACCGAGGACAGTGTGAGAATATACACGATACAACAAAACAAAGGGATTATGCTCTACTTCCTCTTTATAAAAGATAATTATAATGTGTATTGAGGCATAACTAGACACGTGTGAAAGTACAGTTGCTTTGGGTGGAGTATATTCTGTTGCTTTTATCATTATACATGTCTAACAGATGAATGAAACATTATGTAAAACAAAGTTTCTTCCATCCAACTCGAAAAGAACTTATCGTTTACAAAACCGGAAGAAATGCGGAAGATATTAAAAACAAAGATCATCCGGTTAAAAATTTTAATATCTTAGAAGTGCAATCTTCATTTTCTCAACTGTAATTAATCTACAGTGTATACTGGTATACCGACATCTATTACCAACAACATTGAGATCATTGCATAAGCTCTTCACCCATATAAAAAGTTATTCTTTTTAGTGATAGTGCGCTATTTCTCATTCGTGACTACGAATGAGAAATAGCGCACTATCACTAAAAAGAATAACTTTTTATATGGGTGAAGAGCTTATGCAATGATCTCAATGTTGTTGGTAATAGATGTCGGTATACCAGTATACACTGTAGATTAATTACAGTTGAGAAAATGAAGATTGCACTTCTAAGATATTAAAATTTTTAACCGGATGATCTTTGTTTTTAATATCTTCCGCATTTCTTCCGGTTTTGTAAACGATAAGTTCTTTTCGAGTTGGATGGAAGAAACTTTGTTTTACATAATGTTTCATTCATCTGTTAGACATGNGTAATAAATTTAAATTCTTTAAATAATTTTCTAGAAACGGTATTACGTTAAAATCTCGTACGATTTAAATCGTACGAGTTTTATTTGTTGTTTGTCCTATTTACAGATTTCTATATTGCACGTGACTTCTTACCTGTAACAGAATGTACATAGAAGGACTTCCAATGCACGAGTTAATAGACGGACGATGTCCATATCCACTGTCTGTTAACGTCAGGATACATCTTTCGACTCGTTTTTTTTACTCCTCAAATATACATCCAACAGTGAATAACACAAAACTAACACCTGTTGAATGCGTTGTCGCTTCGAGTGTCGACAAGTCGACAAAAACCACGCCTGTATGACGTAACATAAATTGCGTCCATTAAATGGACCGCTGATCGATTACGTGAGTTGAGTGCATGACGTCACGGTTCAATTATGACGACGGATAGGAAAAGAAGTGAAGAAGCAATGCTTGATTTCTGTTTGCATGAAATAATCAAGAACGGAGAGTTGTTTAACATTAAGTTTATAACAAATTTTAAGGATTTTAGCAAACTTTTTTCTACCGAATTTTATCGCGTCGGGTCAATGTCTTCATCATGGCTGACCTATCTGTTAGAGAGACCGAGGCCCGTTGACTGAGAAATAAAATAATGGTGGGTGGCACAGTCGAGGAGTGACACAGGTGACGACCCATCAATGTATTCTTTCAACTTCCTGTAAGCGGTTGTGCAATTTCGCTATTGTCCCATACCTGCTCAAGCCCGCATGAAGTGGAACCCCTTGATTCACAAGATTGGCGTGACAACTTAGATCAGCTCGTTTATAATATAGGCTATAAACATAGTACAGGTTATTTTTCCTTTTCCTTTTTTTAAGTTAAGCATAAATTTTAAACGCAACATTAGCCGTAAGTGATTATTTTGGGAACGATTATTTTTCTTCTTTCCTAACAAACGCTTTCAGAATAGCTATGTTGATGAATACTTTATTTTTTTAAATGTTAAATTTGGATCTTTTTCCCTCCACTGTTCTTCCAATTTGTTAGTCTGTAAAGCTTAATTATCGCCATTTCAAAAACTAAATTATTAAGGTTATCTAACAAAACTGATTTATACACTATTAACTTGTTGCTTATGATGTAGCTATAAGCTTACATTATAGAAGTTTTAAAATAAAAAAAAAATGATAATAAAGGAAATAGGCTTACACAGTATTTAAATTTATTATGAGACTGAAATTAATTTAATATTTGAGAGAGAAATAATTTTATTAGATTGGTGATATTTTGATAGAAAATATTTAGTTATTAATTAAAGTGGCCCTAACATTGTATATTATATCGAAATCCTTCGTTCACCGTAACATTAACAGAATAAACATATATACTGTATATATAAAAATGAAGTTTAAAATATATTTCCATTATAATTTAGTTAGTATTAATTCATTCAGTACTTTAAAACAAAATCGTTGAACCAGAATAGAAGGAAACGAGTTTTACTCTTCTTCAGTAGTAAAAGGTAAATATATTAAAGATCACGTCACACAAATGTTTCGTCTAAATAAAATTATGCATGTGAATGCACGAATGTAAGTTTAAAGTTTTCCTTACGCTAAACTATAAACGATAAAATATATTTTAATTCGATGTTTAAAAAAGTACGTTAAATAGATCTTTTAAAAGAAGAAATGTAATTCTAATTGTCGATAAATCTTTGATTTCGTTTTGAATTAAGTGTCTTAGGAAGCGATCTATTAAAATACAAATAATAAAATTACATTTTTATATTCAGCTAACTATAAAAATACAATAGTTTTTCATTTATATTTTTCTGTTATATACGAGAGATGCACTATTTATACATTTATTTATAATTTGAAAAACTTCATATAAAATCAACATTAGTTATTGAATAATTATAATTTCGCAAATGTGAACATTTTACTTATCCGAACAGTACTGTAATAGATATAAGTCAATGATACAAATGCAAATTAATTTCATTTAAATCGATTCTATATAATTTACTTAATTTCACTCATCTATTATCTCTCTCTCTATTAATAGGGAAAAGTTAATAATTAACTGTAATTGAAAGCATTTAACAATTAATCACAGAAAATGTAAAATGAAGTAACAACAACAACAACAAAAAAAACTATATAGAACACGAACAATAATTATATTGATATTAATTGAAATTAATTTTAATTTGAAATGTATGCAATTTTTCTTTTTTTACTTTGAATGTGCAATATTTTCAAAAACGAAGTAAATGTATTAAATCATTAAATATAAATCTTTTAATCTGAAGAACTAAAAATCTAAAATTTTATTTATAATTCGTAAGTATTTATACATTTTCCGCTATTAAACTTTAAATTTTTGTTTAAGGTAAAATATATTTAAAATATTTTGACATTAATTATTATTTCACAAATATTTATTTACATTTTATATTAATTTATAAATTCAGATATAAACAGAAAACAAAGAAAACACGCTCAAGGTTTCATTTTAGGCCAAGAAATTCCAAGTAAAAATTACATTAATATCAAAAATTAGAACTTTTTCTGCATTATAAAAATTTGATTTTTACTTCCTGTACAATTTAATTGAATAAGTTACGATAAATTAATGTTAAACCGAATATATGAAATATAATCTAAATCAATATTTAAATTACTATTCCAATTATTTAACAGTGTGAAATTTCTAAAATCATATTTTGATTTTATTAAATTTGGGATGCAATGTAATCATTACAACCTCGTTCATAATTCCACGAACCATAATTACTTTAAAATAATTGTATAAAATTATATACACCTATAATTTAAAAAGCCATAATAAACTTTTCCATCAATCAGTTTATTCAATACAACTGCTTAAATTTGTTGCTACTGCTCGAAACTTGTGAATTATTACAAAGTTAATTTCTCGAAAATTATAGTAGTAAACGTAAAATATTTCTAACAATTAGCATTGCTAGAAATTATGAAATACATCATTCTCAGAACAAGAGATAAGTAGGTCTAAAACGTGCTGTAGTTAAGGAACGAAATAGAAATGCGAAATCTACAGCGTGTAACTCCACCCAGTTACCATTATGTAATACGTTAAAAAAATATTTTTACTAGACGTTGAATAAAATGTTCCAGATTAAAGCAAAAATAAATGCTAGATTTTAACTTTTTTCCTCTTATTTATTTTAAAAACAGGTTTGACAAATTCTATCAAATTTTACTTTTTGTTTTTCATCAAATTGAATTGCCACATAAAGAAACAAAATCGATAAATACATTATGGATCAGGATTCCGAGAGTAATAATGATAAAAATTTTTTGAAGATTTTAATAAATAATGAGCTAAACTGTTTCGAAAGCATAATTTTCTAAGATTATTATTATTTGAATATGTTGAAATGTTTATTATTTCTACTGCCGATATATAGCGTTAAAAATAGAAGTTTGCCTAAAAGAAATGTATTATTTATATAAATCAAACCTAAGAGACTGTAATATTTAATTTAATTCTCTATTTATATAATTCGATCCAAAACTATTTTCAAACAGTTAGTTAATCTAACATTTACAGCGTGATTCAGATGATATTTGATGTCAGTTAAAATTTACGAAAGCAAAATCACTGAACAAACTTTCTACTATGTATATAGATAAAATATCAGCAAGTAAATATATAAACGAAGATTTAAATTCTATTTTATATTACATATTAAAATTGTAACGTATATACAGCACATTTCAAATAACGCATGTGAATTTTCGAATCATTAAACGGAAATAATTTTCATTTATTAACATATAATTTTTAATAAATTTTTTGTTTACTTTAAATTCGACCAATTGAATTACACATACACAAATCAAATATTTCAATTTTGTAAATAATTTCTAAATATATATTAAATTAAAATCTCAAATTGTTAAATCTTAGATTAACAATGAAGTTCTAAATCTAATCTTAAAACTCTGATTATGAATTAAATACACAATATAACTGGATTCTGATCTAGCGATTTTAAAAACCAACAAATATTTATGATAGGCTATATGTTTAGAAAATATAGTAAAATAAATATGATATTATGGTAAGATTGCTTTTACATCAAAGACAGACCAAAACTCTGACAGACAGAATGAATTTATTTAGTTTCTAACGAAGTTAACTTCAGCGCTTAGATAATTATCAGTTTTTTCATAACGATCAGAAATATTTAAAAACGAGCATTGAGAACATACCGGAAAGAAGGTTGGCATAATCTTGCCGAAAATAAAACAAACACTCAAGTTTGATCCAAATTTTCAAGAAATTGTGTAAAGGCCATTATAGCACATATTACGAAACAACAATATCATTTTCTGAAGACGGATTACTAGTTCAAGAACAAGTTTGACGTTATGATAATGTATTTCCGATAGAAAGGCATACAGATTGGCCGCGAAAGTTCATTTCTTAGACTATCCGAAACACTTCCAATATCCTTAGAATTACTAAATTTACAGAACTTGTCTAATGCCTTTCTGGCTATGACATCAAACCAACAACAAATGATTTTACGATTTCCAATTCACCGAAGTTAATTTTATACAATTTTTTTTTAGCTTCACATTCAAATCAAACTATTTTATATTTATAGAACCGACAGCGAACAAGGAATCTGTCCTTACGCTACTTAATATTTTTGATCAAAACACAAGGTTCTGAAAACTTCGAAAATACAAACGGATGGTAATGACAACCTTTTTTTTTGGGCTTGTTTTAAAATACTGTAAACCTTCTGGATTCTTCGAAATAGTCATTTTGCTTTAACGACTTGTTTTAAATAATTGCCAAAGTTTAATTATAAAAATTAAGAATCCTAATAGGCAGATGCGTCGAGCTTTCATCCATTTTATATCGAGTATTTCCCTTTGGAGAGTTATTCCTAAAGTCGCCGATTTTCTGCGAACATCCTCTTTCCCGAAACATCTAAAATTTTCGAAGCAGAAATTATTATAACTGACAAACTGTCATTTATGCTTTTATTTCAGAATTATCAAAAGTGTCAGGTCGAGACGACTTTACAAATTAGTCAAATCAAATGTGTTTAGTATAGTGCTTATCACGGTAGAATAAATATTTATCGAATTGACTGTATGATAAAGTAGCATAAATAATTTTTCTTATTTCCTGTAGAGAAATAATTTAAGTATGATACAATTTAACATATTATTCCTTTTATTTTTACTTTTAGATTAATTTGTTCTTCCTAAAATTAAATAATGGATAACCTATAGTACTGTTTGTTTAAAACTCTAGAATTACTTTTATATAAATAATATTTAAAATCAAATTATACATACGAATAATTTTATAAAACAAATATTTACACGCAGATCAAAATTTTCATATCTTTATAAAATATAAAAAGTATGTTCTCAATTACCAAAATTAATTTTAATTTATTGGTTCCATAATTTCAGTTTAATAATGCTTTTAATTATTGTTTTCCTTTTTATTACACTTTTTCATGATTGAATTATTTTAAAAAAACCATCAAATAACCGCTTAAAACATTAAATCGAATAAAATTTAAATACTTTCGAAAATCCGCCAACAAATTTCAAGCCAATTGGAGTTTAAGCAATCTTGGATGCTTCATTTCATCAAGAAAACGCATATTTATAAATTTTTAAAAGAATTAAAATTCAGTGAAACTATTTATTAAAAATTAAAAAAAGGTATTTTATCTTGACATTAAATTAATATTTACGGTATTAAAATAGTTACGATAGACAAGAATAAAGCTGAAATATAATTGATAAACTTTGACGTCATAAAAATTAAGGAAACTGATTACTGGAAGGTCAGTATAAACAAAATTGCATTTGTTAGCATTCAAAAAACGTTATAATTGTATTTTACCGAACAATTTTATCTAAATGAATTGTGAAAGTAATAATATATAATTATATCTAAAGAAATTCCACATAGACAAATTTAAATGTCTTTTTTTGGATATGAAGAAAGTAGTTTTCATTTAAAACAGAAAAAGTCAGAAAAGAGAACTCATTATTTATTGAAAGATAATTGGATAATTTTTAGAATTTTTGTAGATCTACGAATAGTTTATAATGCGACTGGTTGTGTTATCGACCGTGCAGTCAAG